TATTCTATTCTATTCTATTCTATTTTACCCACCTCGGAAGGATGGAAGGCTGAGTCAACCCTGAGCCGGTGAGATTTGAACAGCCGAACTGCAGAACTGCAGTCAGCTGAAGTAGCCTGCAGTGCTGCATTTAACCACTGCGCCACCTCGGCTCTAATGTTGCACATGGGTGGCACGCGGGCCATAGGTTCGCCATCATGGCTATAAAGATTAAAATCTTCCATCAGTGTTTAATATTGAGTGTTATGTAAAAGGATCATTTGTGTGTAGAATATAATGTGTTCTGTTTAACTGATTGAATAACTTATTTTTACACACACACATACTAAAAGAGTATTGTTCTTTTTAGGATGCAACTGTCACAACAAAACAGAAGATTGTTATTATGACCAGAGTGTAGCAGATGAAAAAAAAAGTATAAACATATTTGGTCAATTCAAAGGAGGTGGAGTATGTATAAATTGTACACAACACACCACTGGAATAAACTGTGATTTGTGTAGTGATGGCTATTACAGACCACAAAAAGTAAGAGGATTCTGAAATATTGTATATCATTAATGGCAATGCTAAAAGTTGACATCTATTTTTTTGAGCCTTACTTCTTGTTCATTTAATATGATTAAAACCATGTGAATTTATACTGAAAGGAAAATGGAAAGGATTCTGTCTTTGAGAAAAAACTAGGAAGTCTGTCCAGCCATGAGGTCATTTACAAATACATATTAGATCAAAAGAAAGGAATTTCTTTATAGAAGTAGTATAAGGTGACCAGACGTCCCGCTTTTGGCGGGACAGTCATGATTTTTAATAATTTATCCCGTGTCCCGCGGTGTGTTCAAAAAGTCCTGATTTTCCAAAAGAAAGAGAATCAATTTTAAAAAGGATGCCGTTAAAAAAAAGTTTTTATTTCTCTGAAGTGTCATTCCCAATGTGGCCTTTAGAGGGCAGTGGTTTCCCTCCTTCCCCTCCTGTGCGTGTGCGTGCCATTTTTCTGCAGGGAGAGCGACGGCTTTCCGGCGGCGGCACCATGGCAAGGAGGAGGCTCGGTCCTGGGCCAAGCGGCTCAGCCTCCGGGTGAGCCAAGGGGAGGCAGGCGAGGATCCGGTTGGGAGAGGCTGGTGATGGGGGTGGCTTTTGAAAGGGTTGGGGGCATTGGGGGAAGGCTGCTTTGCAACCGCCAGCGACATCCCATTTCCCCCCCTCTCTTGCCTTTCCTTCTGCTTGCTCCATCCCAGCAGAGGCTGAGCCTGCCTCTTATTTGGACCTCCTGCATCCCCCCCCAAATGGTGCACCCCATTTCAAGCAACAAGGGGCACCAAGCAGGGCAGGATTGCAAACACCCCCTCCCCCCCAAGGCTGTAGGCGAAAGCTGCTCTCCAGCGTCCCGTCCCGTCCCTGCCCTGCCTTCCCAGAGCCGTCTCTGTGGAGGTCCTTTTTGGCTTTAACGTGAAGTCTTGAGGGGGGAACAGGGCGTGCCCAGGCACCTGTCTCGGACTCTGCTCCTGAATCAGGAATGCTGGAGAAGCGGGCGCGGATCGCTGGCTTTTTAAATCAACTTTTTGGAAGATGGATGGGAGGACGGATGGGGCCAGTACTAAAGGCATCCCGGCTGAAATCACTTAAAAAAAAGCCATTTAAAAAAAAAATCCCACTTTTAAGGCGGTGAGCAGATCTAATGCTCCTTCCNTACAAAGCCTCCCAAAGCTCTTCATGCCCCCCCTTTTTTTGCAAAAAATGAGGCGTTTAGAGGGTTTGGGTGGCCTGCAGAGTGCAAGCACTTTAAAAAAAAATCTTCAAAATCATAGTGCGTCTTATACTCCGGTGCATCTTATAGTCCAAAAAATACGGTATGCTGTAGTACTTAAAAGAGAAAATTGTCTGATTTAAGTACCAGTGCATGTAAATGTTGTGTTTTATTTTTGTATTGACTTATTTTACATTGTATTTTGATGGAGTCACTGAGAATTATTTTTTATTGTGGCAGTATACAGGTATATTTAATAACTAATTAAAATAAATCTTATAAATTAAATTACATTGTTAGGAATGTCAAGATTTATTTTTGTATATATTCAATCTGAACGAGACCTTTTAACATGGATCTATAGGCTAGTACAAACCAGCAGTATTAAAATATTTTTTACATTCTAATTAAAATTTATTTTTCAGCTTTACAATAAAACCCTTTTTTGTGGCAAAAATGGTTTTATATTTATGATGCTACATTTTAATTCTGTCATCCCTTGATGCTTGGTTTTAAAGGGTTTCTTATGTGTTGGGAAAAATATGCAACTTTTGAGTCTGAAAATTAGATCAAAATTAAATTGAACTCTGTACAAAGAACACTCGTGGAAGTATAATCAGCAATTGAAATGAATGCAAAGTATTTGTATAATAAGCAATATAATCAAAAGAAGTAACCTTGCATGTTGTTGAAGCCTGTAAACCTGACTTTGGGCATGTTTCTGGTAAAATATTGGTCCTTTCTGTTAACATTATTTTTAGACCTTTCAAGTTGCTTACATCATCATAAAAGCTGCTAATGCTCCAAGGCCTGGAAACTGGATTTTGGAACGTTCTGTGAATGGTATTGAATTCAGCCCTTGGCAATACTATGCAATTAGTGATACCGAGTGTCTAACTAGATACAACGTGACACCAAGACTTGGTCCTCCTACATACAAGAAAGACAATGAAGTTATATGCACTTCCTATTATTCTAAACTTGTTCCACTTGAGCATGGAGAGGTATGTTTTCTTTTAGTTCATGTGCCTATTATTTGTGGTCATGGAGGGAATAAAATGATATAGTGATAACAAATATCTCTCTGCTGAAAAGTTAATCCTGTTTTTCTTCCATCCATCTTTTATCTGTCATTAGTAGCAACTGAGACAGGTTTAATTTCTGAGGATTTGAAGCTTTCCAATATATGAATCACTTCTGGCGGAGGGGGAGGATACAACACTTTTAGTCTTCTCTCAGGTAGAATCAGAGGTGGTATTCTTCTGGTTCTGACCAGTTCACCCGAAGTGGTAGCAGAAGTCACATGCGGCCCTGCTTACCCGCCCCAGCTCTACAGCATCCCATTTAGTCCCTTTTTTAAGGTAAAGCACATGTGCAGAAGAAGGAATGCATGCGCAGATGCGTGCACTCACATTTGCGAACCAGTAGGGAAGTACATTAATATAACTCATGGGTAGAATCCCACAGATCTGATAGTATCTGAACAAGGCAAGTATTCTTTGTTTTGATACTAAACTAGTGCAACACATTGTAAGTGGAAAATGTTTAGAAGTTGAAATTAATGCAAAGTACTACATTAGGCTGCTAACCCAGGAAAGGAATGGTACAGGGATCACATATCTTTATAGAAAAATCTAAAATGGGTGCTAGTTGATTTCTAGGCATAATTTAAGGTGTTTATGAGAGGTTAAAATACCTCTTCCATGAACCTGATCAATATTTTAGAGAGCCCCTTTGAAGATGTTGACCAGATGGCAGTATCTATTTCTATAAATGGGAAGAAGGGACTCATTCTGGTTGCCATTCTTTTGTATTTTGCTCCTATAAAAATAAGACAGTTGATAAGCTTCATAAATAATGAAATAGCACAATAGATAAAATGTGTATTCCCCTTTAGCTGGATCTCAATTGTTTTGTAGAGAAAGTTTCTAATTTTAATTGCTTTAGGGAAAAAATAACATACTGAAATAAAAATCTGAATGACTGAATGCAGCTTGAATAATTGTTGGCATCATTTCAAGGAGAGCTTGATCAAAAGAGCTGGAATTGGCAGGTCAACAGTTGATTATTATTCCTTTTAAGCAGCTCTATTCATACTTGCTGTCTGGCATAGATCAGAGAAGCAACCCATGTTGTAAGGAAATTGTGCATTGAAAACTAACCTACAATGAATGCCTTTCCTTATATACTAGCAGATAGAACTGTGACCTCAATACCAAGTTACTAGTAAACAAATCTAAAATTTCTTTTAAAAGGGTATGTGTTTGAAGCTAAAACCACTACTAACATTAATTTAGTAAATGTTAAATTACTGCTTTAGACCCAGTTACAGGTATGGTCCAACATTAAATTGAGATACCAGATTGTTGGATATTTCTGATGTTTCCTGAGTTGAAACATTTGTTCTAACCCTCATAATTGAAAGACATTTAGAATAAATCATGTTAGGAAATTTTAGCAGACTTTAACTGAATTTAATACTTTCCTGACTTTGAACATTTTATAGTTAAATGGAATTAACATCTATACGTTCCAGACAGATTTTATATCATGGAGAATTCTTTGAATTAAAGTCAACATCTGGAGAACATCCAAGTAGGAGAAGGCAGGTTTAAGTTCTCAAATTATTTAAACAAAAATCCAACTGTCAACTTCACTGTCTTCATCCTGCTGTTGCTAGCCAGGGATTCAGGCAATGGATAAGGGGGCAGCTCTGAGATGTGAACACCAAGCCCTGCAGGGCAGTAGAATCTCATCTGTCAAAGGGAGATTGCTGTGCCCAACAAGGGAGTGAGGGAGTGGGACAGGATGGTGAGGCATGGCACACTTTATTGCAGGTAAGGCTGTAAAGCGGTGGTTCTCAACCTTCCCAATGCCGCGACCCTTTAATACAGTTCCTCATGTTGTGGTGACCCCCAACCATAAAATTGGTGTCTCGGTTTCTAAGACCAGCGAAAATATGTGTTTTCTGATGGTCTTAGGCGACCCTTGTGAAAGGGTCATTTGACCCCCAAAGGGGTCCCGACCCACAGGTTGAGAACCATTGCTGTAGAGGGTGTAGTTTTTCCCTGGGTAAAAGTAGAAGCTATGAAGAAGGCATTGTTAAGAGTGGTGGCAGAACTGGAGGAAGCGGAGGGACAAAGGCTTCTTGGAGGGCCAGCGCATGTTCTGCACCTCACATTGGAAGTGCTTCAGCAGGCTTCAGTGATGGGTGGAGGTGAGCCCACTAACAGCAGAGTGTACCTTCAGGCCCTCTACCTGTTCTTGGCCCAGTCTTCATCCTACAAAGTCTTGCAGGGCCTGCAATTTCAGTGTATTGAAATCCGCAGATTGGTTGTCTAGGGTGCTTCACATGCGCCCTCTGCAGCTCACAGCAGGTTGAGGGCATTGAATTTTCCTGTGGTTGTAAAGGCAGGCGAGCTGTCAAGTCCCCAAATTCTGATCAGATGAACACAAGGGCAATGCAATTGCCAGAACTTCGAAGATTAACAGTAACATTCATTCAATGTTGTTGTAACTCTCAATAGTTGCTGTATGAATTGTTGTTAAGTATAGCTCTCCCTGAACTTCCCAGGGCACAAATACCACTGTAACAGATGGGGAGTACAGAAACGCACACATGCAAACATATGCACAGCTGGAATACATTCCATTAAAATATAGATTATTCCAATGTCCAATTTTGTCTCACATATATCATTCGTTTTCAAGTTTGCATTAGACTTTTTTGCGCTGTTGGCTTCTATTGCCATTCCTCATATGTTTTTTCCTTTTTGAAATTTTTATAGTTCTGCTTTTAGTACCTACTTTTCAGGAATTGCTACCTACCTTAAGCTCCTTTTCCCATTATATTTTTTTGTGTGGTATCCTGCAGTCTTGCATATTGTTCTTGAGTTCCTTTTAATCTATATTTTTGAAGTTCAAAATGCCTCTTTAAGCACATTTGGTGTCCTGTAAAATCCATACATTCAGCATGATTGCATTTCCACACTGTTTATTTCTTTGATTTTCCTTTGTTAGTTAGTAACAGGTCAAGGACTGCTGATCTTCCTGTGCTTTTTTCAAACTTCTAAAGCAGAAATTTGTCAGGATTGTAAGTTACAAATTTCCACTCTTGGCAGAGTTTATCTCCCCATAGAAAAAAAAGAGTTTGTATGAGATGCAGACAGCTGATTCAACATCTTTAAGAAGGAATGTTTTTTTGTGTGTGTGTGTCTCTCTGTGTGTGTGTATTTAGTGAACATACTAGAATTTGAATTTGTTAAATCTTGTGCAGATCAGTCCAGTTCTGTTATTGTATTCTTGAGTTGCTTTTAAAAAAATTGACTCAGACAATACACTGCTTATTAAGCACCCATATATGCTAAAGAAAAATGTATAAATAAAAATAAAAAACTTTGAAGAAGTAATTTTAGATAAGTAAATATAGACACAAGAAGGAATTTTATGTATAACAAACTGCAAATAAGAAAATAAAGCATTATTTGGCCTGAGTTTCACAAAACTTTGCTTGTTTGCCATTTTTCTTTTGACCTGTTTTGCTAGCATACAAAAGCTTGTTTTCTTTTGCTTTGTTTCTGTACTATAAGTTTCTGTACTCATTGGCTCAGGTAAATTATTCTAAATTCTTACAGAAGCCTATGAATGAGGAAACACCGCAGTTATTTTTGCACACATGTGGACAATGTGTTTATAATCAAATTAGTCTTATTTTTTAGATACACACATCACTGATCAATGGGAGACCCAGTGCTGATGACCTTTCACCAACATTACTGGAGTTTACCTCTGCAAGATATATCCGTCTCCGATTGCAGCGGATAAGAACTCTTAATGCTGATCTCATGACACTTAGTCACCATGATCCTAAAGATGTTGATCCTATTGTTACAAGAAGGGTAAGCAGGTGTTTTTCATTTATCAGTGTGTTGGAAACCTGTTATCTCTGGTTGATAGAATTTTTCCTAAAACAGTCTAAGATCCATGTGAATTTTTCCTAAAACGGGCTAAGAAAAATGTTAATTTTTCAGCATGGAAAAATGAAGACACTTGCTTATTATTGTCTTATGATGTGCATTTTAAATAATATTCCTGGAAATTAGAAGAACGGAGAGTTACTAATATGCTAAAATAGTGTATCTGGTGATTTGATGAGAGTTGGTCTGTTGTTCTGACCCAGCTCCCCAAACACGACAAACCCTCTGTAGTTAAATCAATGAATCGTCTATTAAGAACGCAGCAGCCCCAACAATAAGTTTCTTTCTCACCGCAGGCTAACAAGTCTGTCCAGCAGAGAGCTGAATCGTTGTCTGCCACATCTATTCATCTCCACCCCCTGCCTTTTATCTCCAGAGCTAGGGTGGGGTTTCACTAGCAGTGGTGGCTCTTCCGTCCCAAGGATCGGCCCACAGATTTCCACTGCTCTCCTTTCCTCTGCCTTCTGTGGTCCTCACGCCAGGCACGGGACCCAGCTGTTCCTCCTCTTCCTTATCAGCCACCTCCAGACCTGGGCGCTGTTGACTCTCCATTTGAGGGCTGACAGATGGCCCAGGCTCCACCTCAGTCTCACTCTTCGACAGCTCCATTCCCTCTTCCCCCTCGTAGCTCTCAGGGTTGCCCTGATGCTGACCCCGACTTCCCACACCTCTTCCTCATATGATTCGGCTGCTGGAGGGTTAGGGTGGCTGACAGGCTACAACAGCTACCTTTCACATTAGCCAGCTATTTGTTTGGTAATTTTGACAAGAAATTTAAGTATGAATTTAGAGCTCTTTTAGGGTCAATTTGCTTATCACCTCGGTAATTAAATGTTAGTAAACAAGAATTGCTCTTCAAATATAGAATTGATTGCTGAAGCCAACATGTGAGTTAAGGAGCATGATACCATGTTAGAAATGCACTACTTTAACACTGACTTCTAGCACATAAATCTTGTTCTGTAAAAATCAAGATCACATACTCAATTTATACACCAAGTATACTTTTATATAAAATACGGGTAGTATCTTGATGTCGTTATATATTGTGAACATTATTTTGTTGTAGAGCAGCAACAATAGTGTTGAAGTAGTATTATCTGAAGCAGGGGTCTCAAACTTGCGGAGTCACGTTGTCGTCACATGACATATCATGACATTTTCTTTTTGCTAAAACGAGAGTGGATATGGCCAGCATGTGACGCCTGCGGCCCGCAGGCTGGAAGTTTGACAACCCTGATCTGAAGGCTCTAATACTATTTTACATTTAGCTTAACCTAACAGGTGCCATAACCATGCTAAAACTATTCTTGTTTCATTTCTGTGAGAAGGAAGACATATCATTATTTTTTAAATTTTCTTTAAAAACAATCTTATTAAAAATATTTCTGTATATAAAAGTAATTTTTATTTTGAACACAAGTAAATTTGAGCTCATAGAAATATAATGTGTTGTATTGTGTTGTATATGTATGTCCTTGAACAGTTTTATGTTATCTTTACATCTAGCATAAGAATGACTCCAGTGCCCTGACTGATCAATGTAATTTGCGTCTGTGCGTGGGTGTGCATGAAGACTTTCTCATGTAAAACCTCATATGTAAATTCTAACTGAAGTTAATTGCAATTTAGAAAGAGCCAAGGTGGCGCAGTGGTTAAATGCAGCACTGCAGGCTACTGCTAGATCAGCAGTTCAGCG